GTGCAGTTAATAAAAGTTCAACTTGAGCAAAAACTACTGTAACAGAATGAGTGATTCCATCTCCATTATTTCCTATGGGGGAAAATATAGTTCCTCAATCCAAACAGGAGGTCGACCAGCGTCCCGTAACTGATTGCATTCAACCTCAGAAGTTCCACTGACGATTTTAAAAACACATTTTCTTTCTTTCTTTCAAAACTGAAGGAAATTCGTATGTAGTGAATTTTCCTCTCTAATTTATTGACCTAAGCGCCAAACGTCTGCGCTAGAACAGGGTGTTGATGGTCAATTTGACTTGTCTCGCTTCCACAAAAGGATCCTGCCTTCCTGGAATCCACTTACCGGGATAAGAGTGTTTGAAACAGCGTAGGGGCAACAGGGGGATCTTTGTAAGTGGAGGTAATGACACATTAATTATCAGTGTGAGCCCCACTATTGGTGGGCCACCAGGTTAATGAAGGCAACGGGATTAAAACCCGGGGAGTTAAGCGCCTTCAGGGACAGGATCAGGAACTGGCTGTATCTGTAATCCCCCCTGGCAATGCGGCTTTCCCTCTCGACTGCAATAAAAGGACAAATTGTCTTCTGCCCGCATTCACTCTCAAGGGGATGTGCATGGCTTTTCCATGATGGATCATGCCCCTCTTCTGCACTCACCGCACACTTTATTCAGTACACAGTCCACAGCCAGACCCAAAACTCTTATCAGTGCAAGTTAAATCAAGGTCTCTGCAATCAGTCAGAACCACATACTTATTTGTTGTCGTGGGCAGATTTCACCGCAAGCCGGAAGAGCCTTTTGATGCCGATTTTGATGCAGATGACAAATGAAAATCTTGAGCAAAACAATCTGCGGAATGCTGAGCGGTAGTACACCCTTGCAAACTACAACAATGAATAATGTTAAATATCGCTGATTAAATTTAAGACTCAAAGGTGTGACATGTGAGAACGACTGATGCTTGAGAGTTTAGATTGGATGGTGAGTAAGTGTGTTTTTCTTTTTTACCTCAAAAACTTTATAATACACTTAATCGCAACAAAGCGTTTTGTGTGTGTGTGTGTGTGTGTGTGTGTGTGTGTGTGTGTGCGTGTGTGCGTGTGTGCGTGTGTGTTTTATATTAAAATATTGAGCCGGTTTAACTCTGAGAATGTTTTGCTTTGTTTTTGGCCTCTTATTTCTTTTTTGCAACACTAATTATGCCAGGATCAATTCATTTTGCTTGTTTGTTTGCTCTTATTTGCTATTTTACAGCACCAATTTCAAAACGACGAAGGGTGGTAGGCTGGGTGGGATTATCACACATCACAGCATTACATGTCAAACTGATTGAAAAAAAGCAACCACAAGTCTTAACATGCAGCCAAGACATATCCAAGTGTATATTCTCGTTTAAGCCAGACACCTGTAAAAATATATTTCATTCCACTTTTTAGAAAATATACACCTCAGTCAGTGTTAATGTTTTCTTTCTCCAAGACCTTGATTTGATATTCAAACTTGAGTTGCAATCAGCTAATTAAGTCAACAGGTTATTAGAATCTTTCAATATAATTCGTATGGTTTTTTTTTTAACCAGTATATGCGTAAGTACACTGAAGGTCTCCCTGACAACTAGCATTCTGTAACGTGGAGGCCGCATCGCTTGCATGTATATTATTATCATATTATTATTATTATAACATGTGGGATCTCAGCATTTCAGAGATTAACTCTGAGTGTCTGTTTTTTTTCTTTTTTTTTTTTTTTTGGG